TATATGTACACCACCCTAATGGGACAGTTTATAAATGACAGAAATAAGCAAATATGTACTAAAATGGGACCACAGTGTATATGAAATTATAATCACATTGGCAACCCAGTGTATCAATCTACAAATGCACCTTACCTTCCTTTGGAAATGTTATCAATAAAGACACAGAAGTTTAACTAGTTTAACTAGTTTATGGCCAATAAAAATTTCCCACAAGCTCCTGCAGAAACATTTAAAAAGTGTATCTTTTACAATTAACCTTCTTAGCACTTGGCACACCAAATATTGATGATATTCCAGCAAAACTGACTGGAAACTGATTTTAAGTCACTTGGCAAGGAATGGTGGGGAAACTTGGACATTAACTCCATTTACAGCCTAATCATGACTTACCACCAAGGAAATCTGTAAAGGACAAGCTTCACAGAAAACAGTCTTATGATCACTGCTAATGAAGACTGAATGTTTTATCGTTTTAGGTAATTTCACTGATCGATGTAACTAATGAGATTTTTTTCTCTTCAGTAAAGGATGATTTAGAGAAAGGCTGCTGCATAGTTGATTAGAGAACTACCACTGTAAAGTATCATGTGTTTATTTGGAAAACGTTCATATGAGCATAGGTTATAATCCTAATTACATAGGACCCAAACTTACACAGGACCCACAGCAACATGCTCTGCATGCAGAAGACCCCAAGGTCAAACCTTGGTACTGTATTTCCAATTAGAAGATTACAAGAAGCAGAGGTGGGAAATATGTCCTCCTGTGGACTTGGAGAGCCCCTGTCAAACAACAGTCATTAATAAGTAGATGTCAAACTCAGAGGCCAGTTCTGATGTTATGTGAACAAACGATCACAAGTCTTCTGTTTGCCTGCTCCCCATAGTTATGTGGGTAAGAATGGAAGTACCCAATCACCAGCTGCTCTTTACTGTTAGGCCTGAAAAGGGCAAACTAACTTTACATAATAGTTTATTAACAGGGCAGGATCTCAAACCAGTTTGATACTGGTTTTCTTCAATAAACTGGCTTGTCCTTTTTGAATATAATAATAAACTGGGGCTTATGAAGAACAGGAGGTGGAAGATTCTAACCTCTTGTACAAGATCTTGGATGATTTGGCATTCTGTCAGAGGCAGGTCCATTAATTAATTAATTCCATACAGGGCTACAATCTTTATATTTTTTAAAAAAATCACACCCAAGCCATATTTATATCATCATGCAAAACAATTACCTATGCACATAATTTGATGATACTATGTGTAACAAAAAAGATATGTGTACATAAAATGACCTAAGTAGGAAATGTATCGCATCTGAAGAGACCCCTATTTATATGATAATTGATTAACTACTACAAACAGACATTTTGCACATTCTCATTATTAGTTAGAATTTTAATGTAGTAGATTTACTTTCTGAACTAAAATTGTTTTGCAAATTATTTTTGGTTTTATTGTTAGTGACTTTGGGAGTTTGGCTGAAATGTATTGACTGACATAAGTATAGTAAAAAATTTATACATCTTCAACTGTTTACTTCTAAGGATGTTTACCATCAACTGGCAGTTAGTTAAGGTGATAACCAATAAATCAAACAGATATCCATAGTAACTCCAACTGGTAACACAGGTACATTTATTTATTCATCTGTCCATGCATTTCTACAATTAAAGAAATTCTGCCCTTCCCTACATTTTATATTCCTCTTTCTTATACTCTTGTTCAAAATATACAAGAAAGCACTAACCCCATCTATCCAAAACAACAACAAGAAGAAGGAAATCAGACTGATGATGCAAGGACAATTCAGTTTAGGTGTGGATACAAACTGAAGGGCACTATACAAGTCAAGGAACAATTGTAACAGGTGAGGCTTGAATTCAGAACGTTTTTTTAAAGAAATAATTTGGGTGTGTTGCCACAGAATGGAGTGAAAGCAAAAATGTTAAAGATAATGGATTAAATCCAATGCTTGTCCCAACTAAATGGAACTTGATGGGTTCACACATTATGCTAAGTTATGCTGATTTTGATGGGTCTATTCTGATTGGAACTAAGAATGGATTTACCATAATTTTTCCTTCTAACAACAATTGACTTTTTTTATAGCCAATCCTTCAATATCCAGAATCCTATTGTTGATGTGTAGAAGGAATGTGTAGAAATGTTGGTGGCAAACCGTCACCATTAACAAGGTGATCGTTGTGTTTCTGGACATGCACCCAACTGTATGAGTCACAGGAAGAGTAGGCCCATCTGAATGAGTGGAACGTAATAGAGGAAGTAACTTACCAAATCGCTGTTGATTCAATGGACCTACTCTAGTGCAATTTGCTACACTAAGCAACAGGATTTTGACCACTGTTTCCATAGTTATTGAGACATACTACACTTGCTAACTAGTGCCTATATTCTATCCATGATATGAAATCTACATTCTTAACTTCTGAAGAAAGAACTTTTGAACAATTAATACTTCCAATAATTTCTAATTATCATTCTGTTAACATCCTTCTGAGAGAGAAGAAAGGCAGACTTTAGTAAAACAGTTTTTTTCTTGAAGGTAGATGGACCAAACAGTCATGCAAAAGTCTGGCCTTTCCCCTTCCAAAAACAAATGAGGGAGATACCACTTTTCCTTATGATATGTCTACATATCCACTGATTATTTCTCATTCATTGCATTAATCTAGAAAATCCATATATAGAGTTCCATAGATTGGGTTCTACATCCTCAACTGAGATTTTGGACGTTTTCAAATTAAAATGTTCTATGTTTCCCCTCTTTTTCTTATGCAGTTACCCACTCTATTTTCAACAGCCTTCTGTCAGCCACTTTATATAACAAACACCTCCGTACCTAGCAGGAAGTGTTGAACAGAGATAAAGCTCAGAAAGAAGTTTTGAAGAAAATGTTATTGTAAAATGCCAAACAAACCCTAAATTCAGATATGATGCCAAAGTGTGGGTAGGCTGTATGCTAAGTTGGCAAAAAAGGAAAAAAATAGAATGTGCAACCTTAAACCAATCCTATACTGATCACCTCTATTAACATATACTGATTTTTAAAGCTTTTTTAAAGCAAACATCAAGTTTTTAATTCAAATCTCTACCGATGCTGAGCCACAGAAAATAAGTTTGTTGCATGCTAAACTTTTTTTATACTGTAACAGCTGTGAATTACATCTGCTTCAGCTGCTACTTGCTAGTCTATTTGAAAGTAACAAAATCTTGGAACGTGGTGCCAATGATCATGTCTTGATTGCTTCTTTCCTTGTGTATATAGTCAAGGGTGACTCTATCTGCAGAATGACACAAAGCCCAAAGTGGTATGTATGTCTTAAACAACAACCCTATACTGCAGTTGAACTGGGTAGACAGAACAAGAAGTACAGGGGAAAAAAGAAATTAGGACTATACTGTATGTAGAAGCTGGGAGGCTTTCTTCCAACCTTTGACCACTGTGCCTTCCTTAACTACTCAAAGGGTCTTCTTGATTAAGGCTGTAATCCTTCAGTACTGTTCCAGCATAGTAGTGGGTGCCATGCCAGTGCATCCTGGGCCATCACTTACTACATGGAGCTTCCAGGTTCACACTTCTTAGAGGACTCTGAATTTTGACTCCTACTGTATCTCAGTGTAGGAGAAAGAACATGTTAATAAAAAGCCAGAAAGTGAGAATGCCTTCTACCGGCACCCAGAGTGAGTGGCAATATCAGCCAAGGATGAAGGAAAATGAGGGTGGAAAGCAGCAGAGACAGCTTTTTATACCAGTAAGAAATAATTAGAAAAATAAATGATCAGGTTTCTTTCAGAGAAATTTGGAAAGCATTTTAAAATGCATGCAATTGCTTTTTTTACATACGGAAGCAGTGTGCTGTAAAATAATACTGTTGAAAGTAAATACCATAAATTTAAAATGAAATATATAAATCTATTGGATTCTCAGTGTGTACTTTCAACCATAAGAACTGTGTACTTTCTACTGTGACACTTATAATGAAGTAGGAACTGTAAGTTAAAGCTTTTGAAAATATTGTACAAGTTCCGAATGGTACCCTGCTCCAGATATGACTGTCTCACTTATGGACTGAGGTGCCCTAATGGCAATGGCAAAGATACTCTTTGATGAGGTAGATGCCTTAAATTTGGTACATTTGCAGCCGAGGGCCACTTCCCCTTACTTCCCCCTTACTACTCCAAGACTGTGACAGGGAGTGCCCTCCCCTTGAAATGAAAGAGAAGGAATGTAACTCTGAATTAAAAACCTGATGTTTGCTTTTAAAAAGCTTTTAAAAAATCAGTATATGTTAATCTAGGTGATCACTATAGGATTTGTTTAAGATTGCACATTCTCTTTTCCCCCCTTCTTTTGCCAGCTTAGCATGCAGCCTACCCACACTTTGGCATGATATCTTAATTTAGGGTTTGTTTGGCATTTTACAATAACACATACACAGAACTCCTCCATTGTTCCAACTGCAAGAGATGTCTTTCCTTGAAGAGAAGAAGCGTCACACCATCCTCAATTATTGTGGTACCTCGAAAACTTGGTACACATGGCAGTCAACCATATGCTGTTAAAATCTAAACGCTAACCATTTTTGCACGTTAAGAGTGACAACCTGTGGCACGAAGTTTACTTGAAACTACAGGCCAGCTTTCCGGGGGACCAAGCCAAGCCCCACAGGAGACCAAAATACGGTCTCTCCTGTGATAGAGAAGCCCCTTGGAAAGAAACCGAAGGCGCGGGAAGGCTCGGTCTGCTAATAACGAGGGGAACCCACCACAGGCGGCGCCCAGTCCTCTCGGCCCGGGCGCGCGCGGCGGGCGCTGGGGCTGCGGAAGCCCTCTCCCGCCCGGCGGCCGCTTTGAGGGGAAACGGGGAGGCAGCCCTCTCCAGCGGGGCCAGTTAGGAGCTCTGCAGGAAAGACGCCGAAGGCCGTCTCTCCCTCTCTCTCTTTCCCCCTCCCGCCGCCCTCCCTTTCTTACCTTCGGGGTTAGCGCTAATGAAAACCCGGACGTTCCTCCCGCTGGGCGCCAAGTGCAAGGGCAGAGCCGAAAGGTTGCCGGAGAAGGCGGCCCTCCGCAGCGCCGAGTCCCGCGGGCCCGGCAGCTTCCCGGCCGCTCCACCGGGCCACATGGCTGTGGCTGTCTCCTCGGTGCTGCTGCTGCTGCTTCTCCCTCTTCCTCCTCCTCCTCCTGCTCTTCTTTCGGAGCCGTTCTTCAGCAGAAAGGCGAAGCAATGCCCCTCCGCAGCCTCTTCGCGCCGAGCTTCTGAGGGCGCTCTCCTCCAGCCCGCCCAGCTCAGCACCCTCGGCGCCCTCCGTCTGCGGCCATGCGGGTCCCCCGCCCTCTGCCGCTTCCCCCGCCAGCGCCCCGAGGTTCCGAGCCGCGGCCGGGGGGCGGCGAGAGGTTCCCCAAGCGCCCGGGAGGGTTCTCAAGCGGCCCCGCAGATTTCAGAGGAAGGGGAGGCAGAGGGCATGCCTCTTTCTTTCGGGACTTGGCAAAAAGGTGGAAAGAGGGGAAACTTTGCGCCCCGGAGAAAGCTTGCCGAGAGGTCTCGTTGCTGGAGGGAGCCTGAGTAGCCTGGCCAGGAGAGCACCGCAGGGAGGCATCACCATGCCAGGGCCATGCCGCGGCTGGCGCCTCTTCTATGTCCTCCTTGTCATTGGCATGTTCAGTCTGGGATAACGGCCGCCGCCGCCGCCGCCGCCGCTTCAGAGTCCCCGAAAGCTCGCAATTCCCCAACTCCTCTTCAGTTTCCCGGTGCCTCCGGGCAGCAGTGAAAGGGAAAAGGGAGACGGCAGAAAATGCAGGGAGGGAGATTTTTGGCGATCCAGGGTGGCCGCTGCTCTGATCGCCCTCAGCAAGCCGTGGAGGAAGGCTCCCCGACCAGCCAGATGAGCGAGGCTAAGTCGAGTCCTTTACAAAAGCGGAGGCGTACCTGAAAAATCGCAATTCCTGCGAGCAACTTGGACTGAAAGGTTTCCCCGCCGCGCTCCTGCCCGTTTTCTGTCACTCCTTTCCTTCTCTTCGTAGTTGCGTATGTGCTGCGAGCCCCTAAAGCCGAGACGTTTTATAGTCCTGCGCCGCGAAGCCGCTCCAAAAGAAAGGGGGAAAGAGTTCAAAGACAAGCCCCCCCCGCACCCCGGTTCCTATTTTTCAAGAGCGCAATCAGAGAAGACACAGCGAGAGGGAGGGGGGGAAAACAACCCCGGAAAGGTTATTCATTGTGAAGCATAATGCCCGGTTTGAGCAATGAAAGGAGAAGGAAGGAAGCGGCGATCACAATGATCGGGGGGGGGGGGAAGCGAGCGAGCTTCTTTGCAGCGGTCAGTGGCGGGGCATCCCGGCGGGCAGGTCCAATGAAATATTCAGAAAGGTTGTGATGTCTGGCCGGGCTCAGACAGCCGCCGCCGCCATCACCTTCCTGGCTTTATTGTTATTCCTCTACCCGCACCCCCCCTCCCCCGTAGACTCGCAGAAGTCAGTCTGCGGAGGAACACCCATGCAGTGCCGCCAGGGGCGGGGGGGGGGGAAAGAGAGGCCGTCCAGCCCGCTGCCGCCGCCGACCGTCGGAAGCTAGACCACGAAGAAGAGAGCGCGCGGCTCCACCAGGCGAAGGTGGCGCTGGCGATGCAGCTGCTTCAGCAGCAGGCGGCAGATCTCTTGGCCGTCTGCAGGGCTGACAGAGAGAAACGGCGTGAAGGATCGGTGGCGTCAGATCGGACGGGCATGGGCAGCGAGGGTAAAGAAAGCGTGGCAGCAGATCAGAGGGTTTCCGTGGCTTTTTTTTAGCGCTCCTAAAAACAAACCGGGCTTCCTTCCTTTAAGTTTTAGAGATGGAACCAGGTGAAAATATGTTCTTTAGACAAAACTAACCTCTCTTTCTACAGTTGAGTCGCACCTGGCAAAAATGAATAAGGTTGGTTTTGTCCAGGATCAGGGCTAGCTCTACCACTACCTAGGCGGAGAGAGACCTTAGGCAGCAGATGTTGGGAAGCGGCACTAAAGAGAGTCGGAGGAGAGAAGCCTGTGCTAAGCAGATCCTTCTGTGCACCCTAAGCTAACTTACTGCCTTCAGGTGCAGAGGAGGATGCGGTCCCATCGCTAGTGTGGATGAAAAAGGTTGAACTGTCACCCCAGCTGGCTTTTTTTTTTTTTTTTTGGTACATGGAATGGGAAAGAGCAACTTGTTCTATGCCTCAAACAGCAAAGTGGCTTGGATCAGCCCTGACAGGGTTACTAGACTGCCTAAAAGATACTTAATATTGTGTGCCATCAAGTCAGTTCTGACTTATGGCAACCCTTTGCAGGGTTTTCTAGGTAGAGAATATTCAGAAGTGGTTTACATTTACCTTCTTCTGGTGGCACCCTGGGACTGTACAGCTTGCCCAAGGCCACACAGGCTGTCTCTTCTGATTTATTTATTTATTTATTTATTTATTTACTTATTTATTTATTTATTTATTTATTTATTTAATATGCCGCCCACTCTACCTAAAGGTCTCTGGGCGGCTTACACCAATTAAAATTCAATACAGTAAAATATAAAATGATTAAAATACAATTAAAATACAATTAAAATTGCCATCATCAAGACCCACCGTTGATGTTATTTCAATTAAAAGCCTTCTGGAACAGGATATACAGTGGGGACTTGAACTTCCAGCATCTGGCTCCACTGCCAGCTACCTGACTCACAAATGTGTTTAGCAATGTACAGTATAAAGCTATTTTTTTCCCCTTCTCAACTCATTTTAACCTCCTTCAGACTTGAATCTGAGTGTGGGAAAGATTGACTAGTCTTTTTCACATAGTGAGAAACTGTTTATGGAGATAAAGTCAGGTGTCACTGATCACTGTAGCAACAAACCCAGGCCAAATAATGGGGTTAGAGGGATCAACAGCTTGCTCAATGCAGGAACGTTCGCTTGACATTCCATGCCTGTGCCATGATCCATCCTGGGAAAATCTCTGGTAGTGTTTCACATTAAACCCAGCAGATATGTGGACTTAAAAAAAATGACTGGGTTGGACAGGGAATCCTGAATCCAACTTCTATTGTTATGCTATATGGGATTTGTGGGATTTTTAAATCGCCTAGAGTAGTGCTTGTGCTAATGGGGCAGTACGAATGAATGAATGAATGAATGAATGAATGAATGAATGAAATAAATAAATAAATAAATAAATAAATAAATAAAATCCTAATTTAGGAAACCCATTGAATCAGTAAGATTGACTTAAAAGTTGACTCACTTTTGTCTACCATTTTCATTTTTTTTGTTTACCATTTTATATAGGCAATCTCTGTTCATTAGGAAGTTCCTTACATTTAAAATGGAGTAATGTGGTGCTGGAGGAGACTCTTGAGAGTCCCCTGGACTGCAAGGAGAACAAACTTATCCATTCTAAAGGAAATCAAGCCTGAGTGCTCACTGGAAGGACAGATCCTGAAGCTGAGGCTCCAATACTTTGGCCATCTCATGAGAAGAGAAGACTCCCTGGAAAAGACCCTAATGTTAGGAAAGTGTGAGGGCAAGAGGAGAAGGGGACGACAGAGGATGAGATGGTTGGACAGTGTCATTGAAGTGACCAACATGAATTTGGCCCAGCTCCGGGAGGCAGTGGAAGACAGGACGGCCTGGCGTGCTCTGGTCCATGGGGTCACGAAGAGTCGGACACGACTAAACGACTAAACAACAACAACAACAACAATGTGAGAATGCTACTCAAGCTGATTGCTACTTTTTTTTCTAAAAAATGGATGGTTAGCAAACATCTATATTCTTGAGCACCACCCTATTCTCTAGATATTCACCAAAGATTTGAAATAATGCAATGTTTTCTTCAGCAGTCGGGTCCTGTAAAATAAAATTGGCATTTTCCAACAGTAAGTGCTTCACAAGTATAGAGTTCATGCAGTTGAGTGGTATGAGGCCATTGAACAGACAACTGAAGAATTTTAAAATCCTCTCATGAGGTAGATTGGCAGTGTTTTTTATGATTTATGTGACAACACAATTGATCTATCTATGTATTTATTTAAAGAATGTTAACCCAATGTTCATTCTAAAACATCAGAGTGTTATACAACATGCATAAAATATGCCATAATATAGTAAAACCATAAATCAGTATAACATACACAAAAAGCATAAAAGCAGCAGAGCACTCTGAACAAAGCAAAATAATAAATGTCTGAACAAATAAGTATGTATCAGCCTGGCAGCAAAATGAAATCATCAATCTGAAGACACACACACGGTACAGGAAGAGACGCTCTTTGTACACTGAAATAATAAATGAATTTGAAAAATATCTGATTGGTTTTCCTTAAAGTTGAAACGAGCAAGCTTTTTTAAACTACACCGTGGTAACTACAGCAGAGCTATTGGCGCTATATAAACATACACTGTGGACTAGAATTGGTCAGTGTGCTGCCAGCTAGCAGGTTCTTTAAATGTTTGCGTAGCCATGTATACAAAGATCTGGACTTGCCAAAATTTCTATGAACTGGTGATGTAAATATATAAGATATTCTCTGGGTAGATTTGTGACTTACAGACACTCAAACAACAAATCTATTACAGTATTTCACTCTATATTTACCTCCAGAGTATAATTTATAGTATATAATATAATACTGATATTGTATGCTGGACAATTTCTATGCAAAAGTTTAACTAATGTATTATTCCAGAAAATGTGTGGGTATTATGCACAATCCATATCTGCCTGATTAATTTTGCTTATTCTATTTTTAATTTTTGGGTATTTCCTAAATGTCTGTCTAAACTGTTCCAAATATACTAATGTGAAAGGGCTAAGAATATTTAATAAAAAATAATAAATTATAAACCCACCAGTTATCTGGGAAAATCATAGCAGAAACTGGTTTAAATGATATGTACCATCAAATTGAAACCAACTTATAGTGACCTTAATAGGACTTCCTAGGTAAATGAGATATTTAAGGAATGGTTTGGCTAATTCCATGCTGATTCTATTAAATATACAGCCTAAAAATCTGAGCTGTCAATTATATCACTGAATGTGTCTGAAAAGTTCAAATATATGTTGTTATTGTAATGTTATTGTAGTGAAGAGAAGACTCCCTGGAAAAGACGCTGATGTTGGGAAAGTGTGAAGGCAGGAGGAGAAGGGAACAAGAGAGGATGAGATGGTTGGACAGTGTCATAGAAGTGACCAACATGAATTTAACTCAACTCCGAGAGGCAGTGGAAGACAGAAAAGCCTGGTGTGCTCTGATCCATGGGGTCACGAAGAGTCGGACATGACTAAACAACAACAACAACAAATTGTAATGTCAAGGAAGATGATGAAATATGAAAATTTAGTTCTGAGCATTGCCTGAATATTTTCCTTTGAAATATGACCCTAGGATATCTGTCTGCAATTTGAACCTCATGACTGAGACTCTGTAGATCAATAACAAGGGTTGCAATTTTATTTGGAGAAGGAATCCAAGTAGCTACAGGTTCAAGCTTACTTATGAGTGAACAAAGAGTATGCAACTCTGAGAGACAGACCCAATTTTTGGAATGTATTAAATATTTTAAGCACTTGAAAATGCTTCCCCCTCGCATCCAGTTCAGTTCCCCTTCTTTTTTATTTATTTTAATGATTTTATCCCTGGAACGCAGAGGTTAGGAACATATGATGGGACACTGCATATAATGTTGGAAGACAGCTCTTGTCACCAATGAGCAGCACGACCAAAGGTGACAGAGGTGGTGGGTGTAGTCTTAACAAAATTAGGAAAACAAAACATTCTCCATCCTTGCTGCAAACTGTAGCGTGCCAGCCTTTCTACCATACAGTGGACCCTCGACTTACAGACGGCTCGACTTACAGACTTTTCAAGTTACAGACTTCTCTAGCTGCAAAATTTAGGTTTGACTTGCAGACTGAGAATCGACCTACAGACCAGAAAACCCCCCAACATGGAACAAAAATGCTGGTTACGGATTAATCAGTTTTCAATGCATTGTAGGTCAATGGAGCCTCGACCTACAGACTTTTTGACCTGCAGCCACCGTTACAATATGGATTAATTCTGTAATTAGAGGGTCCACTGTACAAGTCATACATTTTCTGTGCTTTGGGAAAATACTCAGTAAATGATTATTAACTTTGGAGTCTAGATATGGCCTTTATATGACTTTTCTTTTAGAATGCTATTATCATTTCTTTCGTGATCTCATCTAAAATGGAAAAAATGTGTCTCTAAAATTAATGATGAACTGGTACTGACCTTGTTTAGCTTAGCGAATCTAAGACTTATGATCAAATGGTAGTTGTACAAATGATTCCCTCCTCTTTATTTGGTTCTTTCCCTTCATGTTATTGTATAGTTGATTTCAGCTGCTGCTGACACTTCTTGTCAGTAACAAGCCATTTTATTAGTGTTAAGAAATCACTTGAGAGCAGCTTCTTTGTGTTTCACTACAGGCCAGGAAA